CAGATTTATCTTGCTCGGCTTTCTCGCAATTCGTCTTGTGTTCCTTAAGACGTACTAATAATAATAACAGTCTTTATTCATACTCAAGAACACCCGTCTCTGAGTTTACATTATAAAAAAATATAAGATAAAATTATTGATATCTATAAGGTAATAACTAGATATATACAGTTGAGGATAAAAATATTAATAATGTTAAAAAGGTAAAGGTTAAAATTGGTTAAACAAAGTTAAACAAACATCGATTTACAAAAGAACTTTTAAATCGCTCTGTTCTCACTAATGGAAGTTCAAACTCGTGTCCCCTTGGCCTAAGGTGTCAATTTAATTTATCTGGTAAAAGCTCCTGTAGTGCATTATCTTTATTATGTATTACTTTATCCCAAAGTTTCTTGTCCCTTTTGATGATTATCTCCTTAATATTCAATTTTTCCGATATGTAACCATTTCTGTGAGCTCGATTGATGAATTTGTCTATTTGACTAATGTATTTATTGAAGTATGCGCCTCCCCAAAGTTCTATGCCGTAAGTGATTATAGGCATAATTAAAGTGTTAAACAGCATGTCCAGTTGTTTGATTGGGAAGCCATAGTATTTACAGACACGCATTATGTACATTCTTGCACTGGCTTTTTTCAACATTTCATCAAAATGCAAATCCCACTTGAAAGGGAGATCCTGTAATGTAATTCCTAAAATCTTTAACCACGTCCTTCGTTTAATAAATGGAAAAGGATCAGGCAACAGCGTAGGGATATTTCTCCTAACAATCATTTCATACGTCTTTTCCATATTTAAGGACATTCGATTATTTTCAGACCATGTTTGTATACTGTCCACTTCGGCTTAGGATGTACCTCCGTTTTCATTCCCTGGTACTTCTAATGTCATGTCATCCGCGAACTTAACTAACTGCTTTATGGGGTTAACTGTTTTGATGTCATTCACCATGATCGAAAAGAGGACAGGACCCAGAACTGTTCCTTGGGGAACACCTCAATTAATATTCAAGTATTCAGTTTCTATTCCATCAACCACTACACTCTGTTTCCTATCCTCCAAAAAACTAATCAGCCAATTAGTAACATATGGGTTGATGGGGAGCTTCTTAAGCTTCTCACATGAAATATCGTGTGGAACGCTATCGAATGCTTTGCGAAAGTCAAAAGATAATACTCTGACATATTTTGCATCTCCTTCTAACCATCTTAACCATGTGTGTTGGCACTTGATCAGAGCCATAATCGAATTGTGACCTTCCTTGTATGCAAACTGATCTGATTCAATAGCGTGTCTTGTAACATGTGCTATCTCAGTTTTGAACACACTTCTTTCAAATAATCTCATTATAATATCTGTTAAAGAGATTGGTCTTAGTTGATTAAGAGAGTTTAAGATAGATTCTTTAGGTACTGGTAGTACATTTGCATGTTTCCACATTTTAGGAACTTTGCTAAGTTTCAATGAAGTGTTAAATATATTTGTTATGATAGGGGCAAGCTCAAATGCAAATTCCTTCCAAAACCAGTAAGGTAGATCATCTGGCCCGGATGCTGTTCGTTTTAGATTTTGTAAAAGGTGTAGAGTAGTATTTATAGAGAGCGAAGGAACCCTGGTGCCATCAGGGATCTCGCCAGGTTCTGGAGCCGGGTACTGAGGATCCGAGTTTATACTTTGAAAGTATACATTTATCTCACTAGGATCAAAGGCTGCACTGACAGATCGACTCCGATTATTTCTTCCTGTAATACTGTTCACATTGGACCATCACTGTTTTGATCCGGTTTTCTGATTTTTGTTCTCTTGTTTGACGGCATTTAACTGGTTCTCTCGAATTAGCTTATTTATCTGGTCTTGTAAACGAGCGTGAGATTCGGAATCTCTCTTCTGTATAGCTCTTATCATTTGCTTTAGCAAATGCTTTACAAGGGGTGACATAAACGGTGGGTCACGTGAAGAGGTTCTATAACCTTAATTAGTGGGAAGCACTTTTCAAATATCGGCCACATCGTTTCATAAAATTTCAGCGTCATTTCATCTGGAGTTTGCCCATCCTTGGTTATCATATTCCATTCTACAGTTCCTAATTCATATAACATATTTATTTTCTTATGTTGTCTTACATCTCTAAAATAGGAATTTTTTCTTTCTGCTTTAATTACATCTCGGGGATAGGTTATTACCATATCATGATCAGATTTTACTAAGCTTTTCACTACTTTAACTTTTTTCCAATCGTGAGGAGCGTTCGTAATGAAACGAAAAAACGCAGACCCCAGGTCCGTGGACTACCTTCGTGGACCTGGTCCGTGGACTACCTTCGTGGACCACTCTCGTGGACCACTTGCGAGACACCAGATTTTTGGGGTTTGAATTCTTGACTGTGCATGCAAAAATGTGCTCGAGTCGAGTTCAGTCATTATTATCATTGTGGAAACTTTACACAAAATGTGAAGTTCTAAATCCATTCACTACATGACCGTTCTAAAATATAAGTTGTGCAATTACGACTTTAATGCAAAGGTTCCGAATATATGCCCTTAAAATTGGTAGTTTTTTTTCTCGATCGCTACAAGAAATGCAAGAAAAGCAGTAATCGAGCTTCAAAAATTAATATTTTTGGGAGAGGACCTTCAGGCATTGAAAGGTCGTTGCAACTTACTATTTCTACAGTTCAAGTTATTTTTTAACAGTAAAATTCAAATAATTCAGTAAAATCCTTTGACCACCCCCCCCCCCTCCCCTCCAGATTCTCCACAGTATGCCTATATTTTTTAATGGAACCCTGACTACATTTTTTTAGCATTTTTACAGACATAGTATTTACTGTTCATCAACAAAAACTGAATTGATTGTGTAATAAATAATGGAAATGAATAATGAAATAGTTCCCGCCAATCTCGGCTCCCTAAACTCGGAATAATATAGTGCTTGGTCTATTGCTCGGTAGGCGAAATTTTGCAAGTGGTCTGCGGGATGGTCCGTGGTCCACGAGTGTAGTCCATGGACCAGGTCCACGAAGGTAGTCCATGGACCTGGGGTCCGCGTTTTGCCGTTTCCCATTTTTGCTGGGATTTTCTTCTGATGGATGTGAAGAAGTAGATGAGTTATAAATGTACCAGGTTATAAAATTTCATAACAAAGTCATTAAGTAATCTACTCCTTCACATCCTCCAAAAGGAGAAAATTGCAGCAAAAATCACCGGTGTAAACGGCCTTTAAACATTAAACTCTGAGCATGCAAGGGATGATGGGTTGGTTTTCAAATATTTGGCCCGTAATTAAACTTGGAGAATTGCCTTGGAGAATTGCCGTGTTTTCTACTGTGCATCTTCTATGTCTCTTAGGCATTCTTGCAAAGCTAATTAACCCATTGAGTGGCGATGCACTGTACTTTAGTATTTTACTCTCTCTAACGGCAGCCGATTTTACTCGTCAAGGGGAGAGCACTGGCGCTTAATGGGTTAACTGCCCATGTGTCTAGTTAACGCATTGAGTGGCGATACACCCTGAAGCACCCTACTTTAGTATTTTAATTACTCTGTCTAACACCAGAGTATTTTACTCTGTCTAACGCCAGGCAATTTTACTCATCAAGGGGAGAGCACTGGAGCTTAATGGGTTAAATTTAAAAGTTTATGAGTCTAAATAAGCAATAACCCAACATACTTCACTTGCTCAGAGTTTAAGGTTTACGTTTTTGGAAGGACAGCCTTAGTGGACCTATTCCCTGATGAACAAAATTTGATCTAGACAAGTCTAGGCAACATCACAAAATTAGTAATATTCCGACGTTTCGTTGAAAAATGTTGTAAAATGCGCCTAATATATTATATATGTAGCACTGCGAAGTTTCCCGTTTTTTGAGTTGTTTTGTATTACGCAAGAGAAGTTGGGATAGATCCAATGCAATTACAAAACATTTATGAAGGAGTAATTGGAGAAGTGGTTTTGAATGCGTTCAACAGCACTCGTTTTTGAATATATCTAAAACCGCCTAACATAACATAAAAAAAAACAACTAAACAGTAAATACACACTTTGACTTGACAACAGATTAAAAAAAACTTTATTTACCCCTTTATTAAGATACATTATATACAATAAAGGCAATAATATACAAGGAATCTATGGTACGAATATGCTATAATTTACAATAGTTTTGGTTAAGATAGCATCAGCTAAGAAAAATGGAAATCAATTTACCGATTTTAGCGCTAATGAAAATGGTTTTGGATGCATACAAAACCAATCCCTAGACAAATGCAAACAAATTAGGCAATTCATAGCTCATGAGAATGGTTTTGGATGCGTCCAACACCAAACCTATAGGAAAATGCAAATCAATTTACCGATTTTAGCGCCAAGGAAAATGGTTTTGGATACATCCAGAACCAGTCCCTTGACAAATGCAAACAAATTAGGCAATTTATAGCTCATGAGAATGGTTTTGGACGCGTCCAATACCAACCCTGTAGGAAAATGCAAATCAATTTGCCGATATGTCCAAAACTATCCTAGAGAAATGCAAACCAATTCGCTGATTTTAGGAAAAAATCTCCAGACAAATGAAAACAAATCAGCCGATTTTGGTGCGTTTGGAAATGGTTTTAGATGCATCCAAAACCAATCTCTAAACAAGTGCAAACAAATTGGCCAATTTATAGCTCATGAGAATGGTTTTGGACGCGTCCAAAACCAACCCTGCAGGAAAATGCAAATCAATTTAGCGATTTTAGCGCTAGTGAAAATGGTTTTGGATGCATCTAAAACCAATCTCTAGACAAATTAGCCAATTTATAGCTCATGAGAATGGTTTCGGACGCGTCCAAAACCAACCCTGCGAGAAAATGCAAATCAATTTACCAATATGTCCAAAACTATCCTGGAGAAATGCAAACCAATTCGCTGATTTTAGCAAAAAATCCTCAGACAAATGAAAACAAATCAGTCGATTTTAGTGCTTTTGAAAATGATTTTAGATGCGTCCAAAACCAATCCCTAGACAAATTTGCCAATGTATAGCTCATCAGAATGGTTTTGGATGCGTCCAAAACCAACCCTGCAGGAAAATGCAAATCAATTCACCAATTTTAGGGCTAATGAAAATGGTTTTGGATGCATCTAAAACCAATCTCTAGACAAATGCAAACAAATTAGCCAATTTATAGCTCATGAGAATGGTTTCGGACGCGTCCAAAACCAAACCTGCAGGAAAATGCAAATCAATTCACCAATTTTAGCGCTAATGAAAATGGTTTTGGATGCATCTAAAACCAATCCCTAGACAAATGCAAACAAATTAGCCAATTTATAGCTCATGAGAATGGTTTCGGACGCGTCCAAGACCAACCCTGCGAGAAAATGCAACTCAATTGACCAATATGTCCAAAACTATCCTGGAGAAATGCAAACCAATTCGCTGATTTTAGCAAAAAATCCCCAGACAAATGAAAACAAATCAGCCGATTTTAGTGCTTTTGAAAATGGTTTTAGATGCGTCCAAAACCAATCCCTAGACAAATTTGCCAATGTATAGCTCATCAGAATGGTTTTGGATGCGTTAAAAACCAACCCTGCAGGAAAATGCAAATCGATTCACCAATTTTAGCGCTAATGAAAATGGTTTTGGATGCATCCAAAACCAATGCTTAGACAAATGCAAACAAATTAGCTAATTTATAGCTGATGAGAATGGTTTCGGACGCGTCCAAAACCAACCCTGCGAGAAAATACAAATCAATTGACCAATATGTCCAAAACTATCTTGGGGAAATGCAAACCAATTCGCTGATTTTAGCAAAAATTCCCCAGACAAATGAAAACAAATCAGTCGATTTTAGTGCTTTTGAAAATGGTTTTAGATGCGTCCAAAACCAATCCCTAGACAAATTTGCCAATGTATAGCTCATCAGAATGGTTTTGGATGCGTCCAAAACCAACCCAGCGAGAAAATGGAAGTCAATTGTCCAATATGTCCAAAACTATCCTGGAGAAATGCAAACCAATTCGCTGATTTTAGCAAAAAATCCCCAGACAAATCAGCCGATTTTAGTGCATTTGGAAATGGTTTTAGATGCATCCAAAACCAATCTCTAGACAAAAGCGAAAAAATTAGCCAATTTAAAGCTCGTGAGAATGGTTTTGGATGCGTCCAAAACCAACCCTGCAGGAAAATGCAAATCAATTCACCAATTTTAGCGCATTTTTGGATGCAATAAAACCAATCCCTAGACAAATGCAAAAAAATTAGCCAATTTATAGCTCATGAGAATGGTTTTGGACGCGTCCAAAACCAACCCCTGCAAGAAAATGCAAATCAACTGACCAATATGTCCAAAACTATCCTTGAGAAATGGAAACCAATTCGCTGATTTTAGCAAAAAATCCCCAGACAAATCAGCCGATTTTACCGCTTATGGAAATGGTTTTGGATGCGCCCAAAACCAATCTCTTGGATGCATCCCAAACCATTTTAAATCGGTAAATTAATGTCCAATTTCTTTTGGATCGGTTTTGGACGCATCCAGAACCATCCTCATGAGCTACAAATTGGCTAATTTGTTTGCATTTGTCTAGGGATTGGTTTTGGACGCATCCAAAACCAATTTCATTACCGCTAAAATCAGTAAATTGATTTCCATTTTCTTATATGATTGGTTTTGGATGCATCCAAAACCATTCTCATGAGCTACATATATATTGGCTAATTTTCCTGCATTTGTCCAGGGATTGGTTTTGGATGCATACAAAACCAATCCCTAGACAGATGCAAACGAACTAGCCAATTTATAGCTCATGAGAATGGTTTTGGATGCGTCCAAAACCAATCCTATTGGAAAATGGAAATAATTTTACAGATTTTAGCGCCAATGAAAATGGTTTTGGGTGCATCCAAAACCAATCCTAGACAAATGCAAATAAATTTGGCGGTTTCACAGTTTACGAAAATTGTTTGGGTGTGTCCAAAACCAATTTGATAAGAAAATGGAGACTAATCGACCAATTTTCTGTAAGTGATTATGAAAATGGTTTTGGATGTATCCAAAACGAAACCTAGAATTAATTATATAAGCTGTTATAAAAACCGTTCGTGATGTACTTATAGTCGATGTGGAACAGCAATCAGTCTGCGTCTTTTGCTTTCTGGCTTTTCATAAAATGGCGAATCTGCCTCCTTGCATCCGTGTGCAACTGGGAATTCTAGTGCAGGTGGAAGCCCGGCAGATAAACACATTCCTTTGGCAATTTATAATTCAAATGCAGTTTTTCATTTGTCAATGATAATAAAGATTGAACATCTTTCAAAACCGATAAATCCTGCAAAGAAGGTTAAGGGAGCGGTCATTAATTATTGGGGGGGGGGGAGGG